CCACGAAGAGCGCGAACGAGCGGGGGCCACGAAGGGCAGATAATGCGGGGCCACAGAAGACAAATATGGGGCCATAGAGGGTAGCAACTGGACCACGTAGGACAGTGAGGGGGACACAAATGGCGACACCGGGGCCACGAAGGGCATGCACATGGGGCCACAATGGGCGCGACTCCTGGGTGCCTGGGTGTCGGGAGCGCGGCGCTCGGGCAAATTGCAAGAAATTCCAACGCAAGGCCATTCTCCAGTAAGTTGCAAGCAAGTCTCCAGCGAGAGCGCGACTCCAGAGCTCGGGGAGAGCGATTCCTGAATAAATTGTAAGGAAATCCCAAGCGAGAGCGCGATTCCTGAATAAACTGCGAGGAAGTCTCGGGCGGGAGCGGGGGGTCCTGGCTAAATTGTAAGGAAGTCACAAGCGGGAGCCGTTGTCGTTGTAACCCGGGGGCCAGGGGGCCAGTTTGACCAGGAAGACTTTCCCTGTCAAAAAACAGGGTGCGAGCGTCGAGGGGCACACTTTGATTGAGAAAAAAAACTGTATGCACCGGTGGGGGGGATCAACAATAATTATTCTCCAGAAATGAGAATTCAACAACAACAACAACAACAACAACAACAACAACAACAACAACAACAACAACAACAACAACAACACTTTACCCGAACGCTCAGTGTTCTCACCAGTGCCAGGGTTTTCATGCGACGCCAGCCAATACCCCCACTTTGTGGGGGGGCAGTGCAAGCTCTACCAAATATCCACACGACTCTTCGCCACCACCCACACCCAGCTTCCCGCCCTATGACGTTCGGACACTTCACTTCGTGGCCTGCGGACGACCGTGGCTACTACACTGGCGTGGAGTACACACCCACAGAAGTTGTTAAGCCTACGTTCGTACACCCACAGAAGTTGTTAAGCCTTGTTAACCCACAGAAGTTGTTAAGCCTTCCACAGAACATCTGTTGCATATGATGCATATGGTACATGATACACATGATACACATGATACGTACTCACAAGATAGTTGATCACATCTTTAGGGCAAATTCCTGAGGGATGTGGGAATACACAAGAGAGAGAGGATATGGTTGTCCCGATGGTTGTCTCGATGGTTGTCCCGATGGTTGTCCTGATGGTTGTGGTTGTCCCGATCGTTGTCCCGATGATTGTCCCGATGGTTGTCCTGATGGTTGTGCTTGTCCCGATCGTTGTCCCGATGACTGTCCCGATGATTGTCCCGATGGTTGTCCCGATTGACAAGCAAAAGCCCGTTTGACAGAAATGTTTAAAAAGTGTTGGGTTTCCTACGAATCCGCAAGAGCGCGCGGGATGAGATTTTGACAATTGTTTGTTGAAAAACCATTGGTTTGTTTGATGTTTTTATGTTAAAATCGCTGCGAACACTAAGGTTTTGGAAGGATTTCGTCTTGCGCGCGCGAATGTCCACTTTACCTTATTTTTTGCAAGGGATTCTTGAAATTTGATTATATTAGAACAAGAAATGTCATTTTCTATTGTTTTTTGCAAGGGAAAGCGGATTACAACAAAACAACCGGATCCTGTACACACCCTCTTTTCTGAGGCTTCCTCACGAAAATGATGAAAATGTAGCTGCGGCCTAGGCGGCGCAGGGGGGGCGCGCACCAGGGGGCCCAACAATAATTATTCTTTAGAATAAATAATGTTCAACAACAACAACAACAACAACAACAACAACAACAACAACAACAAAAAACAACAGTAACAATAGCAGCAGCAGCAAAAGCAACAACCACAACAACGAGGACCACAACAACGAGGACCACAACAACAGCAAAAGATCAACAAAAGCAAAACAAGACCCAAAAAAAGACAAACAATCAGTTTAAGACTGTTCGGTCTTATCTGATCGAGTGTCATTCAACTTGTATTTCCCAAACCTTCGATACCCGCCTTCTTCGTTTTCGATCGTACCCCTTTCGAGGGAGTATATCGTTATTCCCTGCAGGCCGGGCCCTGGCAAGCGGCGGGGCTGCCGCGGACCGTCGGCGTGGCCAGCGGCAGCGCTGACCGGCAGCAGCCCGACCCCAAGAGGGTCGGACAGGGGACCGAACACGACGACGACGACGACGACGACGACGACGAGGACCACGACGAGCGAAAGCGAGAGCGAGAGCGAGAGCGACAGCGGGGCCACGAAGGACAGAAATGGGGCCACAAAGGGCGACAGCGGGGCCACGAAGGCCATGCGTATGGGGCCACGAAGGGCGCGAACAAGCGGAGGGCCACGAAGGGCATACGTATATCAGGCCGCAGAGGGCAAGGACGGGGCCACTGAGGGTAGCAACGGGGCCACGTAGGACAGCGAGGGGCCACAAAGGGCGACAGCGGGGCCACCAAGGGCATGCATATGGGGCCACAACGGGCGCGAACAAGCGGAGGGCCACGAACGGCATACGTATATCAGGCCGCAGAGGGCAAGGACGGGGCCACTGCGGGCAGCAACGGGGCCATCAAGGGCAC